TGATACGTATAGGCCTTTAGTGAGAGACCCAACAGAAAGACTTAAGACTAGCCTAAAGGATTCCATTAAGGCATGCGTAAGTAATGGTAAAATGGAAAGTGGAAAATGAATGCACTACTCCAGAGAGAGGCAATAGCCCCCATGGCTTACGGTCTTCCTAAGGTACACAAGGACGGTGTCCCTTAATTGTAAATAATCGAGGGGGTGTGATGCATAAAATATCACGTTTTTTATACACACCGACTGAGGAACTCTGCCAATTTTTGGCTATATTCAGTTAAATATTCGTATGATTTTATGAAATTGACGGATCAGAAGATAATTTCAGAAGAGGATAGGCTATTAAATTTTGATGTTGTGTCTATGTACACATACATTCCTTTTCAGGGAGCTGTTCAAGCTCTGATACATTCTCTGGAGTAGCATCCAGGTATAACACAAAAAATAAGGCTGAATGTAGCTTCCATTATTAGATTTATTGACCTATCCATAAGTATCACATATTTTACCTTTGATGGTAAGTTATACGAACAAACACAAGGACTAGCGATATGATCTTTCCTCGCTCCTAGCTTGGCGAATAATTATATGGCAAGACTGGAGTAACACTTCCTGGAAGCGGCAATACTAACCAATAAATTGTTCGTTAGATACATGGATGACTATTTTGTCATCTGGCATGATGGTAAGGAAAGTTAAGATAGTTTCCTACTTTCACTCAACCAGCGTGTAAGAAACATTAAGTTCACGATGGAAATGGAAGAGAATAAGTCCTTACCTTTTCTGGATGTTCTCATCATTAGAGAAGAGGGTAGGATAGGAAGAGATGTTCATAGGAAGCCTACATATGTTGGCTCTTTGCTTAATTTTCTTTCCAACCAAAGTTGCAAGGCTAAGGTTGGAATTTTGAAGTTAATGATTATTAGAAGTATGAGGCTATCGGATAGCAAACAGTTAACTAAAGGGTTGGAATGTCTGACAAATTTATTCCTTTTAAAATATTTATCAATTGGGCCTTATTGAGAATAATATCTCTCTAGTGAGGAATACATTTTTAGACGGAGACCATTTAGTCAAAGATAGACAGACTGAGAACTTTTCGCATATCATAATTTTGCCATCATGACTTCTTTCAAAAAACATAGACGAATTAATAAGAGAGGGGGGAATAAAAACAATGATCAAAGAAACCCTCACATTTTCTTCTGTTATGCCATCTTTTAGAGAGAAATATGATCAATTATCGAGATCCGGCTGCTACAATATTGTTTACTCATGTGGTTGATGATATGCTGGTGAGACATGCCGACCTATTCGACAAAAATTGGGAGAACACAAAAATGCTTGTAAAGGAAGCTGGGTGCAACGATCAGAAGTGGCCGAACACATGGCAGAAACTAGACACGAAATAGAATGGTCTTAAACTAGTATGTTTGCTATTTATCGTACGTCTGTGGCTAAAAAAAGATACGAGAGGCTATTGAAATCAATGGCTTAGGGAATACGTTGAATGTGAGGAACGGTGGTAGAAAATTGAGTAGGAACTATTTATGAGATGTATTCACCCTATTTCGTGTAAAGTAATTAAGGACTGGTAGTAGAATTTTCCCACAATGATATGAGTTGAGCTGACGTTTTTCATTGAATTTCAG